CACATGGCTGTGACTTTCAAAAGATTACAATCGGAAAAAGTTAATTTATTTGACATTTTGTGGATGAAAATAGATTTCTCGATAGGTTTGGAAATATTTTAGAAGATATGGGAACTTAAGGGAGTCATTAACAGATTTAGGAATCATTTTGCGACTTTTATAGCTTGTTAAAAAGTTTCAAAAGTAAATGACGAAATTATAAAGTAAAATTCAATATTTAGAACAACGATTGAAAGTCTTACTTGAAGGAACTTAAAAAAAAAGGAATAAATTTGCAGAACGAGAATTTATCCAGGTTAGGCTTAAAAAACTTTAAAATTGAAAATTAGAATCATTTAACCCAGGAATGGACAATCCATATGCCAAAGTACACTACTGTGCCATAAAAAAATTCGAAAAATCCCAAGTTTTGTTCATGGATAACCAGTAAGTTGTGCCATGGTTCCAAAATGATTGCCCATCACTGACTAAACAAATTAATATGAAAAAATGAAATTAGAACTGAAATTCTACAAAGATTGATTTTCAAAAATTATTAAGCCAGGAACAATCAAAATGAACCAACAACATGCTACAAATTATATTGAATGAATCGATTTAAGTCAAGCGTGTGGAACTGATAAATTAGATTTTGATCATTTCATCAATTCCACACCCTCGATTTAAGTAGAGCTTGAAATCGTCACTTTTCAAAATTTAAGCAAGATTTGTAAACAACAAGACTTTAAATTTAGAAAAAATTCAAAACGACTTCAAGTTCTAAGTTTAAGCAGATTTAGTAATTAAATAAAAAATCCAGAACCGTCTATAAAATTAGAAATAGCAAAAAAATAACAACAAACATAGTCACACAGATGCGCTTAGTATTATAAATTAATTTTCAAATCAGTAAATCAATTATATTTATCTGTTTTCAACGAATATGTATAATAATTCAATCAACTCACATACCTCGCCAAAAATAAAGACTAAACTTCTACAAAGAAAACAAAATTATATAAAAACAAGTAAAGTTCTCAAAAATATAAACTAGTCCATTGTTGTCAAAACTGTGTGCCGCAGAAAAATTCGTGGTTTACCATCAAGTTGTTTTGTGGCATAAGAAAGTTTGGACAACAATTGAATTCAATTTGAATTTTGGTATGAATTCGAATTGACTTCGTATTCTGGTTCTTTGTTAAGTTGCAAAAATTAAAAATTATGAATTTATTAAAACAAAAAAAAAATGTTTTTAAATCAAAATATGAATTTAATAAAATTTAGACTTGAATTGAAAATATTAAATCTCCAAAAATGCACGAAAGACAGAATTCTGAAATTAAATAATGATGTTTTGAATGAATTCTTAATGATATATTAATCCGGCCAAAGTACAAATTAAACTAAACTTTAAATAAAGTTCGAAACTAATACGCTTAAGATTCTAAAAGAAAAATTAATAGCTTAATGATAATTAACACAAGTTCTTCTCAAAATAACGACCTTTTGAAATTCAAATGCTTTTTAATTTTATGACAATAGACCTAGACGTTGATGATAGATTTTAATAAGTTGTATACAAAATTTATTGTTCTGAACAAATCAAAGCTAGAAACATCTGCAACTGCTCACATTTAAGATTGAATAATTTCCATGCTCAGACCAATTATACTGTATAAGCCATTGTTGTCCAAACTTTCTGTGCCACGGCACACCTTAGTGGTAGTCTACTACCGAAATTACACACAGCATGCGGCTCATGGCATTTCCTAAGACACACTAGTGTGCCGAGGCAAACAGTTTGGGCAACAATGGTCTAAGTCTTGATTTAAGCCAAAAACTAAGTCATATGCAGTCCTAAGATGAAATTATATAGTCGAATTGTTAATTATCACAAAGTTAATAGTATTTGATTTAAAAATATATAAAAATGAGCTCCAAAACATGAAAATGCATGCTGACTAATTTGATTTTTCAGTCAGAGCTGGTAAACAAGAGAAATTAATAACTAGGTTTTTAGTAGCTCAGTTTTAGTCTTATAGCAAAAAAACTTTCTATGTCTGAGAACAAGCTAAGCTTATTTAATTTAGAGATAACCTCCTAGCAACCAATTTAGAATAGCTTTTAAATAATTTTTATATGCATTTATAAAAAAGCTATTAAAAACAATTCATAAAACTCATCAAAAAGTAATAAAATAAATTTTAAAAATTGAAGAAAAAAATTGAAAACCAAAGAAAATTTATTGCTAGAAAAAATGACAAAATTATGCTAAATCACACAAAATTAAATAAATTAAATACCATAAATTACCCAAAAAGAGCTCATTAAGCAGCAATTTATCAAAATTTTATTGTAAAACTTTGACAAATTTAATAGTTTATTATTTCTTTTACCGAAAATTTGTGGATTTCTTTTTTTTGTGGTAAATTTGTCAAAAAAAAGAATATTTTGTATTCCTATGGAACTAAAACAATTTCACAAACTGTCTCAGCACATAAAAAGAAGTAAAAGACACAAAAAAATGTTTATGGAGATAAATTGCAAAACTTTGCACACAACAAACAAACAATATTTTTGCATAAAGTTGAAATTTATGTGTATCATTCCTGTACCTTACGAATATTATTATATTGTGGATGGAGAAAATATATAAAAAGTTTAACCTGAGACATTTTTTATATGTGTTGAGAGTTGGTCTTAAATAAATTACGTTTAACATTCTTTTGCTGAACATTTAACAAACTGAGAAAAAAATGTGAAAATTTAATTTTTTAAATAAAATCAAAATGGAATAAAATTCAAATTTACTTTTAAAATGTGGCTGAAAAATTGTAAGCTTAAAGCAAAATATTGTCAGTTGAAAAATATTTTTAATGAATTTTTTAATAAAAAAATTGGAATTTCTGGAATAAAAAGTTGTGTTTTTTAATTTTTTTATTTCAGCCGTCATTTAAATTTGACGATATGATTTCTAGTAGTGCAAATGTAAATTTTAGGAACCAATGAACCTCTACTTATTGCTCAGATTACGAATAAAGGTTGTTCGGGGTCCACAACCTCCCTTAAAAATTGAAGTTTTGATTGAAAAAATTCAAAACTCTTTCAAAAAGTTTAATTTGTCACTTTTGTAAAATATTAAGATTGGTGTCATCAGAAACAGCGAGCTTAAAGATTGTAGAACTGATAAATTGCAATTTGGCCATAATTGATCATTGTTGATCATTTTTGACTATAGTTGATCATTTTAAACCAGAGCTTGAAGTCGACTCGAGATTTTTATCAATTTTGCATGACAGAATCGAATCCTAGTCGACAAAACTTCAAAAAAAAATTTCATTGACTTTGAGCTCTATTTTAAACTCCTTTATCAACTTTAGTGGTCTCGTCTACACTTAATCATAAAGCTATCCAGATCAGCACACATTGAAATGTTTACCACGCTGCATCCGGATTATCTGATGCTTGGAAGTTGTTTCCAACTTTATTGCCAATCGGGTGCCGCTTGGTTCTTATTATACTATCAACCCATGTCGGATGGCAAATAATTCAATGAATTTCAATGTTTGCCGATCGGGTATAACTCTATCGAACTCAAATTGATCATCAAAACTCATCAAAAAATTCCATCATTCAATCACAAAACACCAAGATTTCAAGTCCATTCGGTCATAGCACCCAACATTCAAGTTCATTTTTGTTTTATGTACTCAGCTGATAATGAGTTATCAATAAATTTTAAAATGAAAATCAATTAAGCATAAAAATTGAAAGAATCTCAAAAATAATATTAAGTACCCGCTGATAATGTTTATTTTGATAAGATAAATGGGAATTCATATCAATATCTTTTCAAGTGGTAATCACTTGTTTAGTCTGGTATTACACTTTATCGAGCACGGAACTCAAAACAAAAGTAAATAAAATAAAGACAAAAAAAATGAAGCAAAATTTACCTGAGAAGATACAGAGCTACGCATCACAAGTTTTGTTCAATTTTTCGTGGTACTTTTGGTATGGATTTTTCAATTGGCCACAACCTGCTTTGAAGATGGACCCAAATTTGGTCAAATAAGTGAATTACGTGGACATCAAATTTATTAGAAAATGTGAAGGAAGCAGCTTGAAATTTTTATACTGAAATAAAAAACGATTAATCAAATTTTGTGACTTTAAAATTCAATCGACAAGAAGCTGATTTAAGTCTTAAATTACGTCATTAAGTTTAAGTGGATAGGATTGCAGCTTGTGTTTGCAAACCTAATACATCAATGCTTTTGCATTGTCATTGCCAATTTCTTAAAGATAATATCAGATGACAAAAGACTTGCTGTATCATGCATGAACTGCGTTTTATTTTACCGAACCAAAATGTTATCAACAAGCAAAAGTGCATTTTCGTCATAAATCTTTAGCCAGTGTTTCTCAAACTTTTTTGGTCGCAGAGCCTGAATCTTCTTTTTTCATCATTTCATTTGGTAGCTGCAACTATTGAACAGTCTCCGCGGACAATAGTCTGAGAACCACTGTCTTGAACTAATGCTCAATACCTTTTGAAATATATCTGAAACTCTTAAGATGATTCTGATTTGAGCTCACTTTGTCCGTGACGATTCTCGATCTACTCGGGTTAGTTAAAATCAAAAATTTGGGACAATTGAAATGAAACTAAACATCAAGAAGGATGTCTGATTTACAAAAAATTTTAAAGTGTTTCTAGATAAGTTTCGGAGATCACAACAACATCTGAGTCTAGAACAGTGTTTCTTAAATTTTTTTTTGTTCACATCACACAAACTTTAATTTCGAAGTCCATCAGGCAAGCTAATGTGTCACAGAACACAGTTCGAGAACAACTGGGCTAAATCATAATACAAAAAGCAACTAAGAGCAAGAAACTTTAGTTGCACAAAAACAAAACAAAACAATATAAAGAACTTTTAAATGTATTTTAATCATTTTGACACCAAATTTAACCCTTTCCACTGATAACGATTGACATGCATCTCTCTTGTCTAATAAAAAAAATATCACAAATTTAAAAACATTTGTTTTTTGTTCCATTTTTTTTAAAACTCATTTTAATTGTTTTCAATCTTTTTAGAAAGATTTCTTTAAAAATTCTCGTGCGATCGTTACGATCACAAATTATTACACTCAACTTATAAATTGAATCAATTATAGGTACATAACATTTCTCTTTTATAATTTGGCTAGCAAAAGAATACATAATCTAAAAAAAATGTAATGGATAGATACTTAAAAGGATTCGGCGAATAATAATGAAGGGAGGAGATAAGGAAATAAGAGAGTGAAAATAAAAAATAAATTTTTAATTCTCAATTCCTTGATAATCTTTTCACTTTTGCAATTGATGAATGTAGAGATTGTGAAGCTCAACTTTTGGTGAATTCTCAAAGAGTGCGGCTCGGTTCTGTCCTTCACCCTTCTTGACCCAATGTCCGTAAACGCGGAAAGCACATGCATCAATAACCTAAAAATAGGTATTAAGTTAAGGTAAGGCGCATTGTGGATGTTTTGAACGAATCTTGGTGAAATTTTGCAGATGTAAATTAGATTGTTGAGAATTTAGGCAGCAATCAAGTCGGATTCTATCTTTTAACGCCAAAACTACTTAATAACGTCACTTTTAAGGACTGCTTGTAAGATTAGGTCTTGGCTATCGCTTAGGTTAAGTTTTGAGGAACTTCAACCTCCTATTAAGTGTCTTTTTTTTGAACTTAAAAGTTTCTTCAACGACATTTGTCACTGAAACTCATATATATTTAGATTTAAACATTATTATATGTATTTGTATTCCTTTCAAGGTTTTTTACGCCCCCTAAAACAGTTTAAATACTGTTTTAGGGGGCTTTTTTCTTGTAAAAAGAAGGAGAAGTAGTGAATAAAACTCAATAATAATAATAAAGTGTCTCAGTTCAAGGATTCTCTATTGTAAACTTAAATTTACTGCGAACCTGTTTCAGAATATTCCAGGTGATTCTTTGATTTTGTCTTAACTAGAACTTATTCTTGATTTTCCCAGATTTTTTTTTTGCCTAATCCTTTTACTTCTCTTTATAGAATTTAACACAAATTACTTTCTCCAAGATTCGATCTCAATCATCCACACTAAAATATCATAAAAATTCAACTTATGGGCCAAACAACTTACTTTACGAAGTACTTTAACCCTGTATGGATCGCGTAATGCTTCTTCAATGTCGAGTGGCTCAGGTGTGTATCGCAATCGTTGTATTCTGATCATAGCTCGAACAGTTAATATAGCAAATTGGAACTTCTTTTTAGCATTGAATTGGCTTTGGCGACGCATCTACAGTTTCACATGATTTTATATTTTTCATAATTACGAGAGTTAAAAACAAAATATTGTTTTTTTTTTTCGTATGGGGACAGCAATAAGAATATTCAAAATATTTTTTTTTGTTTTGTATGAGAAAATTAAGAAGAAAGAGGGAAAGAAAAAAATGAAAAGTGAAAAGCAACATATTAGTGATTTTCAACATTACAGCCATGAAAATGTGAAGGAATCAATTTTTTTTGTGTTGAGATTCCATCGCATTTTCATAATTTTTTTTAATGGAAAAATTCTATTTATGACCATCTTAGTTCTATTGATTTAATTGAATTGCAGTTATTACTTATGACAAAAGCAGCATGCTGGCAAATATATTGTATATTGGTGTGTATTTTGTGGACATTTTTATTGTTTTGAGAAATTGTTTTTATTCTTTAAACTTTGATATTCTTTACGCAATACTCAAAATATTTTTTTTTAAGCAAGGCTGGTTCTTGGCGTAAATAAAGGTATGTGCTAGACCTGGGTAGTGCTATAGCTAGACTACTGAAACATAATGGTCAATTCAAGAGTCTATCCTAGCTTAAAAGCTAGGATTTACCAGAGATTGAAGCCGATTTTTTCGGCTTAACTCAATTTTTGATTTTTTTGATAGAAGAAAGCCATTTAACACCCATTTTAAGTATTTAAATTGAACTTTTCTGAGCTTCCTATAGCTACATGCTGACAAAATATTACACAGAATCATAGTAAAGCATGTAAAGTTCAATTTAAATACTTGAAATGGGTGTTAAATGGCTTTTTTTCTATAAAAAAAATCAAAAATTGAGTTAAGCCGAAAAAATCGGCTTCGATCTCTGGGATTTACACCTCCTTGAAATATTCCCTTTGGATAATATCCTAATGATTTAGCTGGGGGTCTTCAAAGAACATATTCTAAGTTATAAACTAGATAATACATTAGGCTATTTTTCAGGTTAAACCCTAGACTATTGAACAGGGACACCCTTTGCTAAAGGATATCTCATATTGTTTTACAGATCATATTCTTGATTATGCCTGGTTGGACTATACCAAACAATAAACCCAGCTTTAATTTTAACTGACTACACGTAGTGCATACCTCAAGACATACCAATTAACCCAATGTCTGTAAACAAGATCTTATTTTTCGATTTCGAAGGATCTTATTTTTCGAACGCGGGAAAAAAATTTGAATTCAAAATGTTCGTTATGAAAATTTGTTTACATTTTCAATTCAAAAATTCGAAATTTTTTAAAATGGTTAAAATTTGTGCAATTCAAAGCTGTAAAGGAAGAGGAAATAGCAACATCTCCATATTTGAACTTCCAGAGAGTTCGATACATCGAGGAAAATGAATCGACTATTTAAAATATCATGAAATTCAATATATTCAGTCAAAAAAGTATTTTTTGTGCGTTCTTCATTTTTGTCACTCTATGGTAAATAGGAATGCAAAGAGAGGGCGATTAAATGCGGATGCATTTCCATCTCTTGTAAGTATACACAGAAAATGTTATTTCAAGGAAACTATCGATAAGCTTATTAAAGCATTTGTTGAATTCAGGAAGAAGTTACAGTATCAGGGTCGCTTTATGCATAAAAGAAATGAATTTGCCTCAAAAAATAATTAAATTTTAAAGTTAATAAATATTTTAATGATTTCCAAAATTACTAACGTATTTTTAATTTTCAAATATGACAAAATTACTAACGTATATTTGTTTTTTAAAATTGATCATTTACGAATTTTTTCAAAATTTTCGAAAGCCAACTGATATTTATTCTGTTTACAGACATTGGCAATTAACCAGACATCAGCGAAATCTAGTGATTTAAAATTTCAGAGCATATCTCGGATAATCATACTATGAATTCTGTTTAAGACAATATACATGGGAACTCTTACTATAGTTTATCTCGTCAAGCTGATAAGAAAGGCTTTAAATTTTAAGTAAATATAGAACTAGCTTGATATAATATGTGATCTCATAAGATTAAATGAGTACTTCCTCATCCAGTTAAGTCTCTCTTCTAAATCTCTGGCAATAAATCATAGCTGATTAAAAATATCCCAACCTAATCTTAAACAAATTACATCATCAAGTCACAATTAAGAATCTCCGTCATATCTATAAACATGTCAGTTGTCACATGAATTTTTCTTACCCATTAAATGTAAACAAAAGTTTCCCGCTAATCAAATTTACGTTATTCACTACGCAATCACAAAATCATCTGACTTTATTTTCTCGTAAATGATTAAATTTTACGTAAAATGTTGACCTAGGTCGTCTCCAGTCGTTATGAAATCTGTCTGATTATTTTCTCACCGAGTAATGACTCTTAATCTTTTCATTTTCTTTACTCTCATTTCTGGCGATGTGACTCATCGCATTGTTTTCGCGCGCGCATAATTCTATTGAATTAAATTAAATTGATAAGAGATTTTTACAAGATTTTTATTAATTAATGAGCTTCATAGATTATGCTAGGTACTACGACTGGAGTTTTAGGATTTTTTCAGACAAAAGAATAAGGAACAATGGAAATTACGCTGTTGTTGTCAGGATGACGAGTTAACCAAGTGGCAAACAGTGAGTTAGGTCATGTGGCAACGTAGCTTTTATAGATAAGAGATGTAGAGTCAACTGTTATTGAAATTTGTTCTGAGATTGGTTTAGAATTAAATTAGCTATTTTTAAACGATTTTTAGCCGAAATAAAGTAAGTACCAACTAGGTTGAGTATAAAGACTACTGAATATCATTTCTATCCAGAGCTTAGGTTCGATTCTTATGAAATTTGAAATATTCTACTAAAGTATAGCTATATATAAGTTTTACGGAGATCTGAAAGCTCTGAAACTTAACAAAAATTGATGATCTTTAAGTTAAAAGGTTTCGTTTAAAGAATTAAGAAAAATTAATTGTTGGTAATCTTGGGAGATCCTTTAACCTTAATATTAGCTATAAAACCTCATTGCCGTCATTAAAGTCGTTCTAAGGCTCTGAATTAGAGATTATAAGGTTGTGGCTAGTATATACACCAATATATTGCCTCAAATTTGTAGTATAGTTATAATTAAAGTCAACTCTAGTAACTATACAGTATTCTAAAACCTGATATGTACAATAAGATTAATTCTAAGACATATGTCTGAGATACATACTTAGAAACGATATATAAAAAGTTCCAGACTTAAGATTCCACATTTTTCAATCAAATAACCAGATATTTTGTTGAAAAATGCGAATATCATCCACTTTTGCCATAAAACAATTCCTGCATTAATAATAAAAACTTTAAAAATATCCGCGATTAAAGAAATAATTTTGGAGATAACAAGACATCTTAAAAGGTATCCGGAACAAGTGGTCATAAAGAGAATTTTTCATACATTCTAAAATTAAGATCAAAAATTCTGGTATATGTAAATCAAAAGTAAATGTAAATATATAAAAAAATGTAAAAAATAAAAAATTAAAATTAAATATTGTATATTTGCAATGTAAACAACTAACGGAAAAACAACAAGTTAAAAATCTCGGTAGACATGAGCATTTGCATTTGCATATATTATGTTGATGATCATGATCTATGAGTGGAACAGTGTCCTCAGGCTGATTGTTATTGTTTAAGTCACTATGCCTATGCATTGCATTTTTAAATAACACATTACTTATTGACATGAAGCGACACATTCGACTATTGCATTCCTTGTTATTGATTGTATTTCTAACTCTACTAATACGTCTTTGATAAATGTAATTTAAATCCTGTGAAAAATATATAAATTTTTTTTATGTTTTTTTTTTTAAATGGACATTTGCTTCCGTTTTCGTCGGTTCATCACGAAAAACGTTTTACTTGAAATGAGCAGCCGAAAGGTTTTAACTTTCATCGGAGAAATTCAAAAAGTATTACAGCACATACCTAACAGAAGCTATGCAAAGAAACGTGTAAAAAGGATTAAAAAATGGTTTACGTATTTGATAAGTGGGGCAAGTTTGAGTGAAATTAAAAATAACCACGAATTTTTTTTTAGAACATTGAATTAAATGACAAATAAATTAATGTTGGTTTTTTTAAAAGCAAAAAACAATTTACATTGAAAGTTAAGTTAAGGAATAACATATTTAACTTTGAATTTTTTTAAGTGAGATTTTCAAGGTTCGTTTTGGAGAAGTGCGTATGATTTGCAATTTTAGATTAATTGGTTCAATTAATTAAAGTTTCATTTTAAGATTTACTTTAAATTGGGTGAGATTTTGTGAATATTGAATTGATATTAAATGAAAGTTGCAGTATAAAATAGGATTTAAATAATTTTGATCATCAATTTGGGAAGTTTTAAATAATTTTCATAATTAAAGTTTTATTAAATTGATAAAAAATCTGATTTCGCACCAAGAAGGGGCTACGTTGATTTCAAATTAGAATTTGGTACGGAAATTCTGTTTGATTGGCATAGAAACTTGCTAATTAATTAGATTTTTTATTTCAAACTTAAATCGATGATAAATTAATTTAAAATGTTTAAAAAATAATTTTCAGCCAAAAGTCGATTTTATATTAATTTATGTTTTATTTTGTGTGTTCAATGGACTTTTTGGCATTGGTAATTTAGAATTTTTCAAAGATTTGTCAAATTTTAAAAAATAAAAAAAAAAGAAATTAAAAAATAAAATAAATAAGTGACGAAATCTTTATCCAAAACTCACTGAAAATCCCCTCAAAAAAACCTGAAGTCAAATTTGATTTTCCAAAACAAAAAACGACAAAATTATTTATTTAATTAATTTTGAAGTACAAAAAAATAGTAAAAAATTCTTTTTCATTGGTTACAATTATAATTTTTGGTACTGTAAGTGTAAAGTGAGAATGGGTGTTATTAAAAATTGTACTAGCAATCAGAACACGATCACATATGAAACATATTACAGAATTAGTTTTGAAAAAAACAATTAAAATTATATTTTTTTCTGGTATAAAAAGTTGTTTAAATTTCAAAAAAACTTCTATAAAATTTCGCTTACGTTTTTTCACACGCAATTTACATCATTTGATATTGCATAAACTGGCAGATCATTATTGCTGGCATCCTAATATAGTCTAACCTGATTCTAAATATGCAGCAAATGATATCAAAAAAAAAAAACTCATATTTGCCAACTTTTAAACTTAATTGGATGCAGTAAATATCTCAAATATTTCAAATCTTTAAATAAATAAACAAAAAACAGTTCAAAGAAAGTCTAAATTTCCATAATAAAAATGATTTGACTAGCTTTACTCGATTCATAAACCAGTACAACTTTCTAGTTCCCTTCATGAATGATCAAATGAATTGAAAATGAATTCTTTGCTTAAAATCACTCAATAAGCGTGTTTTAAATTTATGTAATTTTTGGAGAGTTTTTCCATTAGTTTACGAAGCTGATTAGTATTGGTTAATTGTGGCATATTTACAATAATTCTACCTACATTTATTTGAAATGCAGAATGTTCTAGGGATTAATTTAATTGCAATTTTGAGTTAAGGGCAAGCAGCTTAATAATTGAATATTGGAAGATGTTCTTAGAGACTTTGGTGGATAATCTCATTTAAGTCAACCTTTTTTTTGGACAGAAGCGTATCAAGAGTTACTTTTGATCAGGCTCAGATGAGAAAAACTCTTGCTTTAACCTTAATTCTGGTATAATAATTTGGAACTTATGATTCACAGCTTAAACTGTTCATCACTTTTAATTCTTTTCAGTTAATCCAACTAAATCGATTTAAATCTTTGAAGTATCGACAGGATAAATTGAGTTGAGGTATATACTAGGATGTTAAGGATCAACATGGTAAACTTATTGAAAATCTACAGTTATTCAAACTAAGTCGATATTTTATGGTACTTGATAAGATTCCTTTAGCAATCTCAAAGATCAAGCAGTCATAAAATTGCTTAAGTCCTCAAATTAGAATTGATTCTATTCTTTATAGTTTAACAGACAATACGCGAATGATTAATCTATTACTTCTGTACTCTTTCGTCAATTCTGTAAGAATGAGCACATCTAATGACATAACTATTTTAAAGTAGCTTCCTGGTTAGGAATAGCTAGCAGCAACTGAAGCAATCAATAAGAAAAAGTTCCTCTCCTTACAAAATTCCACCTATTATAATAATTAAGCAATATTTATAAGGACGACCCCCAAAGACTCAGGGATTATTACTACAAATAATACAATTCTATTCCAATTAACCAATATAAATCATCTTCATACCACAAATGGCTTTACATCAACCAACTTATTTTACTGTAAAGCGTTTTTTCAAAATTTATACTTAGCTTCTCTACACATCTAATATCACAATTTGTATGGCCTAATGATTCATCTTCTTATAGCAAAAAAAAAGTATTTTATAACAAGCATGACATATAACTTAAGCATCACAGAATTTTGATCAAAAATAAGTTAATCAGATCCGATAAATTGTCTAATTTCAAAGTGCAAAATTAGTGTCAATAAAATTTTGTTTCAGCTATTCTAAAAAAATCAAATCAACAAATAAAAAAAACTTGCAACAAAAAAATGAGTAGGAATTGAAATAATAAATAGAAATAGAATGATTAATGGTTAATAAGTCACATTGAGGGATATTTTTTCTATGTAAAAAAAATTCAAAAATGAATCTTTTTCACTTGTGTGGATAAAAATTTTGGTTAATCAAAATTTTCGAATCTGTATAAAAGAATAGTAACAAAACATTGTGTATGTGAAAGCGGGCAGCGTTCTATTGAATACTTTTTTAAATTTCTCTTGATCATTTCGAAAACGTTTTTCCTGAAATTATACAGAAAAATAAGATAAATTTCAATTTTATGTATTTTGTTTGTCATCAATTTTTTTTTCAAATTCTGTGTTTTTTTGGACAGTAAATTTTGATGAATTTAGCTCTCCTATCTTTCATTTTGTTTCATCCAATTTTTTTCCGAATTCAAAAAAGCATTTTTTAAAAAAAATTTCACACAATTTTTTTTGCAGTTCATCGATTTTTTTTTCATTTCGTCAAACAAAACCATAAAATCATTTAGTGTAAAAATAAATAAAATGTATATTTTTAATAATATTCACACACGTGATATACGTCGTGATCAATTACTCATCGTTGAATACCGTTCACAAACAATACGACCTATTTGAGATCATATTATGGAAACATAATAAACAAGACTCATGGAAATAAATTGTATATTCAATAATATCTAGGAACTATTTTGGGATCGGAACTTACATTTAAGTTTCAAGTCATCATGTAAATCGCTTTTTAAGCAATTTGTTCACATTCACTTATCCTCTCGATTTTGCTTTTTGTGTTATTATATTCATGCAATTTACGGAAGTTCTTTATTCACAATTTACAGCATGAGTCAACGTGCAACAATAGAGAATCGAGAGGAACTAGTAAGTGCAACAACCTTGCTATAATACTGAATTATAATAAAATTTACATAAAATCAAAACAACATAAATCATATTGTTTAATCAAGAACGTTTAAGATTATCAACTGTTTTAATCCTCGAGTGACTCAAAACATTTTAAACTCAAGATTAACAATTGTAGAAAAATTCAAAAAATTCTTAAACGAGATTTAAATTCCATTAAATCTTAATATTGAGATTCTGAGATAGAAATCCTTCGTATTTAAGAATTCCTTGATTTTCTCAATAATTATCTAAGCCTTAGTTTGTCAATGTATAGGTTTGACTAATGGGCAATTCCATGAGTGAAAAAATGCAAGTAAAATTCTTTTTGATCAAAATACTCTTAAAATAACACCTTTTTTCATTCTTTTAAAAATTTATAATTAGAAATAACTCAAGATATTCATTTTAAAAAAGGTAATTAAACGTTTAAAGGTCTATTTACTGAAATAATTCAGTTTTTTCATCGTTAATCGGTTAAGTTTACGAAAATTTTGCTTCTTGTATCCTTAAAAACGTCTTCAAATATCCATTTTTTGTGCTCAAGTATATTTTTAAGCCATAGATATTCACTTTTTCTACTTATTTGTACCCTTTTTCTGTTCTTAAATGCTTTATTCACAGAGAAAATTAAAAAATACTGCGTTAATCGGTTAAGTTTTCAGCGCTTTATCCAAAACCAACAATAAACAGAATATTTGAATTTTGAATTTCCGTTAAATTTATTTATTGCTGAGAATAATTTCTCTTCGAAAAATAACATTTTATTGGGTTAATAATGAATTTAATGTGTTTTTTTTTTCATGTTAACATCATGATTTTGTGTAATAATCGTAATAATAATCAAGGCAATGAAAATTAGTTTGAATCTTTTGAAAATTTATAACGGTAAAAAAAATTCAAATTCCTACAAGTAGAACAATATTACAACTTGCTTTTTCTCAGTTCCCTTTACTCGTGGAATTGCCCTAATGAAAGCTGTTTTTTTGATTAAACTGACTAATTGATGGTTATTTTCCGAAATATTGATGTTAAATCGTCAAAATCAAATTATTGTGTTATTACTGTCCGATATTTTGTGTTTGATCAAGTATCATACAAAGATCGTAAACAAAGATAGTATTAGAAAGAACTAAATGAACAAAACCTTTTTTAAACACAAGACTAATTTTGATAAGGTTGGTTTTGCTAGTTGCTAACGCAGAGTATGCTTCTGAAGAAGCTTCATAAGACTTTAACATTAGTTCCACAACTTAAATATTAAAATGATTATTTTTTATCAATTTTTCGCCAAATTACCATCAATAACACCAGTTTTAATCAAAAAAACACTCAAATTAATCTTTGATCGCCCGGTAAAGTTAAAAAAGAAACATAAATAAAATAAATATATTATTCTTCACAAGCTATTCTATTCATAAGTGAATCATATACAATTATAAATTAGAAATACTAAAAGAGACTAAATTTGATCAAATTAATCAAGGAGAAATTAAAGTTAATTGAATAATATAACTTTCACCAAGATACATTAATCCTCAAAGCTTCAAAGTCTCTGATAAAATAAACGGACAACTATAATTACAGATAATAAATAGGAAATTATAAAGAGTCGTAAATCAACCATAAAAATGTTCATGAAAATTTAAAAATATGAAATGATAAAAGCGTGCAATTTAAGCAGTGATGGCTGATTCGGTTTTTGGTTTCTTTTGTCGCATTACAAATTTTTCTCATCCAAAGATCTAGCAACATCAATAACGAAAGTGATTTTAAGATGCCAAGGATCAATCGGAAATAAATTTTGAGATTCCAATGATTTGCTAGACCTCGGAAAATGAACACAAAAAATTTTATGGAATGATAGCTTTTAGTATGACAATTTTAATATTATTATTATTATTTTAGAGCCGACTAAAAGTCTTTTAGCATTCATTTTATCATTATTATTATTCTTTTTGTTCTTAATCGACAGTTGCTTGACGGAAAATAAAAGATTATAATGAGAATGAGCACAAACCTACGTTCAATAAATTAAATGGATAACATTATAAAATGTCGCAATACATTCTACAGTAGCGTGATTATTTTTTTTTTTGCAAATTTGTTTCGTCAACTCTTTTTGTTTTTATAAATACGCGTGGAAAATGTGTGCCTGGGATATACCAAAAATCTATTAACAGATACTTTTCGAATTAAATAATTTTAGAATTTTTTTGTGTGTTTTTAAAATTATTATGTAATGAATGTTGATGATTACCGATTGTTCAATTCCATCGTCCTCTTTTTGCTCAATATATGATATAACAATATTGACGTGTTTCTTCCCATCCTGTACTTTAATACTCTCAGTCTCATTACTTAAACTAATACTCGTCTGTTCAATCTCAGACGGCGTCGTTGTGGATTTACATGCTATCTCCTTATTCTTATTCTGTTAAATAGAAAAGATTTTTTTTTGTGTGTTTGTTTTGTCCAAAAAAAATTAAATTTCACAATTTTTCATTTCCGTTCTGAACTTTTTTCGATTTTTTTGTGCTGCCAAAAACCAATTGTCAATTATTATTGTAATAAATTTTGTTCTGTGTGTGAAGTTAATAGAAATCATTCAACTTCATGCTAGCAGTTTTAAAGAAAATAATTGTTTCTTTTATAATTTCGATTTGCATGTTTAGTGCATACAGCCAATGATATAACTTTTTTTTAGATAAGATAGAGAATTTTATAGTCTAGCAAATTAGCGCGTAGAATGAAAATTTGTTTTATATTTTATATGGAATGGAATGATTGAAAAGAATTTAGCAGTGATGATGAGAATTGTTGACAATTTGTAAAATGACTATTTTGTAGAGATTGATTTTAAGATTGTAATATTTGATTATGTTGGGTTTATTAAGATTTATTGAAAAACTTTCGACTGTTTAACCTATGTGTGCATATCAGATCTATTTTTTTCTCTAAGACTAATGTCTTAATTGTATTCAAAATTATTGTAAAACATGTCAAAAGATGACAATTTTGATAAAGCACAAAAATAAGCAAAAAAAATATAAAACCTCAAGCTCTAATGACCTATTATTATTACTAAGTTATGAATGAGCATAGCTAACCCTAGTCGAACACTAGACACTATGTCTAGTTAATAAACAGACATGGGATAATATTCACTTGTCCTTTTTCGAATCATATGTACTGGAAATGAGGCTCACAGCCTTCCTTTGTAGGCTACAGGTAGAAATACTATCGGAGGAGTGGTTTGGATCCCACTACAAATTGTAGATCTAAATTTGAGCGCGAGGTCTGGCGAACCTCTTTTTCTTTAAAATATCATTAGCCTTGTAACGCATAAAAAGCGCAGCTATGGATCTTAAGGTCTGAATGCTAAAGTTTATTATATTTTTTTAAAATCGACTAATGACATTATTCTTGGATAGTTTCTTAAAAATGGTCATTAGTCGTCTCTAAGAAGTTAAAACTGAAAGAGCCCACATTTCTTTTTAAAAAGCTTTAGAGGAAACATGGACATCATTTCCAGTAAGATCAACAGTGTTGTGACCTAATATTTTCAAAATTAGAACTTTAAAACTTTAAACATCTCGAATAGTATTAATTTTTTAATTTTCAAATAAAATTCTTTTTAAGATTCTCAGAAAGAAATGAAAATGATTTCAAATAAACTTAAAATTGGCAACATTGAGATCTAAAAGTATGAAAAAATACGCAAAATTCCTCAATACAGCCACAAAACTACACCCGAGTAGTTCAATCATCTCAAAAACTTTTCCATTCTCCGCCATCTGTTGAACATTAATCAAACAAAAAAGACATTTCACAATTTCTCACATTTCTTACAAAAAAATTCACTTTAAAAAAAGAATTTAGCAGTGATGATGAGAATTGTTGACAATTTGTAAAATGACTATTTTGTAGAGATTGATTTTAAGATTGTAATATTTGATTATGTTGGGTTTATTAAGATTTATTGAAAAACTTTCGACTGTTTAACCTATGTGTGCATATCAGATCTATTTTTTTCTCTAAGACTAATGTCTTAATTGTATTCAAAATTATTGTAAAACATGTCAAAAGATGACAATTTTGATAAAGCACAAAAATAAGCAAAAAAAATATAAAACCTCAAGCTCTAATGACCTATTATTATTACTAAGTTATGAATGAGCATAGCTAACCCTAGTCGAACACTAGACACTATGTCTAGTTAATAAACAGACATGGGATAATATTCACTTGTCCTTTTTCGAATCATATGTACTGGAAATGAGGCTCACAGCCTTCCTTTGTAGGCTACAGGTAGAAATACTATCGGAGGAGTGGTTTGGATCCCACTACAAATTGTAGATCTAAATTTGAGCGCGAGGTCTGGCGAACCTCTTTTTCTTTAAAATATCATTAGCCTTGTAACGCATAAAAAGCGCAGCTATGGATCTTAAGGTCTGAATGCTAAAGTTTATTATATTTTTTTAAAATCGACTAATGACATTATTCTTGGATAGTTTCTTAAAAATGGTCATTAGTCGTCTCTAAGAAGTTAAAACTGAAAGAGCCCACATTTCTTTTTAAAAAGCTTTAGAGGAAACATGGACATCATTTCCAGTAAGATCAACAGTGTTGTGACCTAATATTTTCAAAATTAGAACTTTAAAACTTTAAACATCTCGAATAGTATTAATTTTTTAATTTTCAAATAAAATTCTTTTTAAGATTCTCAGAAAGAAATGAAAATGATTTCAAATAAACTTAAAATTGGCAACATTGAGATCTAAAAGTATGAAAAAATACGCAAAATTCCTCAATACAGCCACAAAACTACACCCGAGTAGTTCAATCATCTCAAAAACTTTTCCATTCTCCGCCATCTGTTGAACATTAATCAAACAAAAAAGACATTTCACAATTTCTCACATTTCTTACAAAAAAATTCACTGCTGTGATAAAAAGAAGAAAAGAGATAAAAGTTAGTAAGAAGAAAATAAAAAAAGGCAGCAGAAATCTCCCGTTAAAAACTCATTCCTTTTGTGTATCTAAATATGATAATTTTTTTTTTAATCTCATAGCTTATCATCGAATCATTTCCTAACGATTTTCAAATATTGAAATAATAATAAAATGAAGGCTTTCAAATCATAGTTTTTTGCCATCGAATTCGTATTGAAGCACTTGTTAGTAGAAAACCAAACTTAAACAAATTAAATTAATTCATTTTCTATCTAAACAAACATTTTCTTTTTAAAAAAACAAAATTAAAAATCACGATGACATGACAATCCAATTCCTTTTAAAGGATAATGAAAACAAATTAAATATTAAATGGAAAAAAAAGATGGAGATTAGTATTAATCCCATGAAGCCTTAGACGATTCACAAAACGTTATTTTTTTCTAATGAACAAAAAAAAAGTTCTTTGAGCAATTTGACTATAATTTTTAATTTTTATCTAATTATATGCTGTTTCCTGAATTTTTTGATACGAATAAATTGTGTGAATCGGAAATTTACCACAGCTAAATCGTTGATACGGCTATAACGTCTTGTTTTGGCCGATAATGTTCGTTTAAGTGGTGTAATGTCTTGCTCAAAAAGCTATAAAATTAAAATATAATTGTTTCTTTGATAAACAAAAAGTTAAAAAAAAAATCAAAAAAAAAATCAGATTAATTTTTGGATAAATTAAAATCGTTAAACCTTAAATGAATCTGAATAAAATATATATATATTTTTTGGAATGAAATAAGAACGGAGGATGTGAAAAGGGAGCACAGATAAACAGAACAGAATGAAACAAGGAAATAATGATGCTAAATAAGAAAAACTTCTTTAAAATTGGTTAAATATAGAAAAATAATTAATCCTTAATATCTAAAAAGTCTATACATCGATAAATTTTGATACAAAACATCTACCAAAAATGCTTTTTTTTTTGTCTTAGTGCTGTCCAAACTTTCATAAGCGGCACACTGAGTTGAATAGCGACGAAATAATTGATGAACTTGAAAGCAATTATTCATAATTGCACTAAGCAAGTGTTCAGTATATCGATTGATATGTAGTAAATAAATCATGAAGTTTCACATTGGTCGGATATTACGTAGAACCGCTCTTTTGGATTTTGGAGAGAGTATGGTTTAAGGTTAAGTCACAAGCCATTCAAACTTTGCATTCACATTTTATAATGGACTAGTAAGGACAAGGGTGCAGCCAGAGGGGTCCTGATTTCTCGATATTGAAGTTTACAAGACTTGTATTAGGAGATCCAACTTCAAGATGCTTTGATTGGCTACCCTTTTGGATTCAAGAATGTGGAACTGATGAAATGATCAAAATGGAATTAATCAGTTCCGCAACCTTGTTTGGATTAGGAGTCGAGAAAAAAATTAATTTTCAGCTTTACGTAACATCCGAGCAACCTCAAGTTGTATTCCGTAAAATAAAATTAGTAAATTAAAAATAATTTTGAAGAACACCGAAAAACAACAATTAAAAATTTTACATTCCACAGAATTTGCAAAACAAAGTGTGAATTATGTTTGTGTGTAATCTAGTCGAAATCTTTTCATAATAAATTTTATACCGCATCACACTAGTTTGGACACCACGTCTGTTCTCATTGATCATCACTTTAAAGAAGTTTAAAATATTATAATGGAATAGATAAATTTTTAGGGTATATACATAGTCGAATTCTTTTTGATTCATATTATGGATGTTTTACATATTTTTTGGTTTAAAAATTAGTAAAATTTCAACATCACTCATTTGTTTTTTTAAAAAAACGGAATTGGGGAAAAATAAATAAATTGAATTAATACAATTACTTGAAAAAAATGTACTGTCTTGTTGTTTTTAAAAAAATTGGTTAAAAAATTTGTCAAAAAAATATGAAAACGAAAGATAGTGTTTGTGATGTATCAAGACTTTTGTTTGATTTGTAAATCTTTTTTTTTTTTTTGTTGTCAAAAAATCAAATAAAAATTAATTATACTCAATAATGAATACCAGTGTATGTGAAAGTGTACTAAAGTACTTACTACTGTGTTAAAGAATGGATGCTTGAGCGCCTCTCGGACGGTGATTCTCTTCTCGGGATCAACCACAAGACATTTTCTGATTAAGTCTTTTGGGTCCTCTGTTTGGGATAGAAATGAATGATGTTATAAAGCTTTTGGGGGTGATTTTTTGAATATTTTTAAAAGTCATTCAAAATTTTTGGGGAAAATGGGATAGGGACTCGTATAGATCGAGGATCATGTCATCAAAATCTCTTTCTAAAAGCTTTTCGATGCAAGTTAAATGCGTAGGAACAAGAACTTTTTCATAAAGAGATTTTGACGCTTAATCCTTCTTGAAAATATTTTATTTTCAATTTACTAGGTTTTTTGGAGAGTTTTAAAAATCTAAACCCCCTTCGGATAAGTTCTGGACAATGAATAAAAATACAAAAATACTGTGAACGACTTTGAATATTCCCTAATTTAAAAATAAGCTGAAAACTTACCTGATATATCGGACCATTCGGGTGACATAAAACTATATTTTCCTTCCATGATATTACGAAGCATAATCATCTGTTTTCGGTGCCAGAATGGAGGACACCCGACAAGCAATGTGAACATTATGACGCCACACGCCCACCTAATACAAAGCAATTGATTTCAATTAATTTCTCAGAATCTAGTGAAGAATATTCAATGGGAAAGTAATACATACATGTCAACTTCTCTTGAGTAGCCGGGTGCATCTTCAAACATGTTGCATTTAAGTGTTTCAGGTGCTAAATAGCCAGGCGTTCCACATAAGTCTGTAAATAAACAAATTTGGATCATTATTTCCGTAGATTTTTAAGTAATAAGTAGTAATAATTACCATAAAGTTTCGCGCCATCGTTCAAATGACGAGCAAAGCCGAAATCTACAGAAAAAAAAACGAAGATAATTAAGATGTATTTCATAATGAATGAATAACTTGCTGATGAAATCAATCCCTAGCAGGAGTTACTAGCAATTTTCTAGTCTTTCTATTCTACTACTTGCAATTTACTAGTAATTATTAAAACAACTTACTGTTAGTAAATTACACTTGCTATTTACTAGCAACTTACAAGCAAATTACCATGTGAAATGTTTGATCAAATCTGCTTAAGTTCGAATCTTACGAAAAATCATCAAAAAAAGAATTTTTTGCGTCATAAAAAATTTTGTTCAAAATTTGGCATTTGGCTTATACTTCACAAGAGCGCGCAGAAAGCACCTTTATAAGGTCGATCCAAATTTGTATGTGAATTTCAACTAATTATTTATCTTCCTCAGGTTTGCGTGCGAGTCATGGGCGTTCATCAGTGTTAGGCTTAATTATATTAATTCTTTTTTTTTTTCGTAGTGTTATAATAATCTACACGAATAAGAAAAATCAAAAGAACACGTGGAAATTCGTGGTTCAACGGTTATACTTATTCATTTAACTTTTACTAGTAAATAGCAAGTAGCAAATGGAAAGTTATCCAGTAAATTACTAGTAAATTTCTGCTAGGGAATAATTCAAGCATGCTTAAGTATAAACAATTTGAGTTCTTGGAATGTTGAAGCTTACGTGTTTTTCGGTATTCATGACGTTATAAACAAGTCGCATGACTCAAAACTTGTTTGGCGATAGAAAATGAAGGTTTTTACTATATACTGAGACTTTCAGTTAACACCTGATCTACTTTGATGCCAAAAAATAATTAACATCGTGTCAACGACACAATATTCATCTCCTTTTCGTGACATTCTCGTTTAAGGGAAAAAACTCAAGTAAGAATGGCAAAGAAAGTGCTCAAATCTTTATAATAAATAGCGTGTATTCGAATTATTTAGGTTGAATGGAAAATGTAAATATTTTTCAGAATTTCATCCCAAAAACTCGCAAGAAATATGTAAGAAAAAAATCTGCACGCTTACCTGTTATCTTCACATTTAAACTATCATCTAGAAGAATACTGAAAAAAATAGAAAAATAAACAAAGGCCATTAAAATAAGAAGCTATTGAGAAAAAAAAATAACAATATTCCTACTTTTCCGGCTTCAGATCTCGGTGCACAATGTTACGTGCATGAATATAATCTACGCCCTCAAATATCTGTCGCATAATGTAACGTGTCTTTTTTTCGGATAACGTAACTACTGAAGTAAGGTAATCAAATAATTCACCATGACGACACAATTCGAAAACAAGGAAAATAAAGGCATCGGATTCGAACACATCTTGAAGTTCAACTAGAATATAAAAGATGATTGTGGATGTCCAAAAATAACTCTATTTATTTGTTCTACAAATAGGAAACTTACTGATATATGGATGACCCATAACCTGCCTCAATATGTTAATCTCTTGACGTGTTGCTTCGAGCATTTGACGGCAATCATTATGCTCCGATGCACCCAAATCGATAATTTTTGCGGCATATTCTTTACCGGTCTCTTTGTCTATGCATCGACGAACAACAGATGATATACCACTAAAAATAGATTGAGGAAATTTTCATAGAGATTAGACACACCTGTTTTGTTCATCGATACTTATTAATTATTTCGTTTATAAATAGAATCCGATAGACGCCCAATTGACAAGCCCATTTATTTGCTGAGGCAAATAATAAGTGAAACTGCATCAATTAATCATGATAATGACATTGAAATCATGTTAAGTAAAGTAGCACAGGGGCGATTCCATGAGTGAATTTTTTTTTCTCAACTCAATTTTTTGTAAATAATTTACTTAATTAACTTCATTTAACGCGATATTTAAGATTTATTTTATTTATTATTATGGTATTTATGTATTTTAGTGCATAATCTTTTAGTTAAATCTGTCTGACAAAAGATATTTTAAAAAACCAAACTAAATCGGTCAACTTTACAAAAAATTGATTTTTAAATTTTCATCAATATTTCTTTGAATATCCATTGTTGTGTTACAAATCTATGATAAACACACGTGAAATCGCCTGTGCTTTATAACAATATCTTATTTGTATGTCTTTCTACTGTAATTAAGGAGAAAATTGGAGAAAACACCACTTAATCGGTCAACTTTCCACCGATTATTGCAAAACATATTACATATTTTTGTCAAAATGCAGCATAATTAAGACGATTAAATGCTAATAACACATGAATTGATGAACAATAAGTCTTATTTAGTGAAAAGATATGTTGAAATATGTATATTTAAGCAGAAAAAGCTAAAAATTTTTTTGAACAAAAAATTTTCAGTTCCATTTACCCATGGAATCGCCCACAGTTGAGCTTGGACAATACAAAATATATTCTATCCACATTTGCTTAGTTTGCAATATTTGCGAAAAGCTAATGCACTCTAATCCATAACAAAATATGTCAAGTTCTAGCGAAAATGAAAAAATTGACACTTAAAATTTAATGTGCACTTTTCGTTCATTTCTTTATAAATTGGATCATATTTTCTGTTTAAGTCGCAATAAAACAAAAAATTAAATTTTAAATTCAATAAAAAGGCAAGTTGGAAATTCCTTTCTAATTCTTGGGGGTCAATATCATGCTGTATTCCAATTGGTTGTTTTTTTCGGGCTCGCTTATGTCGTCACTATCACATTTTATTAAGCTGTTGTTGTAATTTGCTCAAAAGATAATATAGAATAGTAGACACGAGAGAAGAAAAAAAATGACTCAAGGTCAACCGTCGGAAAATTTCACGTCGAGCAAATAATTTCTTGTCTTCTTCTTGCTTATTCTTTCTTCTTACCGTCCAAGAACCTCCTTTGGCTCATATTTTGCATAGAATCCTTTTGCTGCATCCTTATCAGGCAGCGTGTCATCATCTGGCTCGTCCTTGGCCATTGATGATTGCTTAATTAACGTTGCTTTGGGAATTGTGACTTATTAAATATTCCAATTCAGAGCAAAACTTCTTTTTCGGTCAATAAAGGTCAAAATGAAAAAAGTGAATTTCACTTATATTTTGCACTACTGGAACTTTACTTTAATAAATTTTTATTAATAGCTAGATTATTAAATTATTCACGATAACATGATTCGATAACTTTCACAATATCAACACTAGAATTAAAATAAATTAGGACTTGAACGAGTAATGCAATTTTTTTTATTTTAAGCCCTTGCAAAAATGTATTTTAGACCTTGTGAAAGTTTCGTTTGTTTACATCACTTAACAGCACTGAACACACTTGGTTTTTACCTTACACAACTCAATAATTCACTTGAAATTGCTTAAAAGTATTTAATTTCATTAAAATCACGAATTTAATTTAAAATTTCAATGTTTACTTTTTACACGGGTCGTGAAACTTTTTCAAAACAAACAGTTTGAAAATGTGCGAGAATGCCAAGCACGTGTTGAATTTAAATTTAACGGTAAATCACAAAAACCGAAGTTCTTTAATTAATTAACGAATACAAATTGAATACAACAATATTGTTCGGTTGTAAATTCGATTGACAACAATAAAATGACTCGTATAGCTTTAAATAAATTAATTAATTTTATATTTACGTGTACATTTGTGTTCTTTCCTTTTCACAGCTTGATTCGTAAACAATTTTATAGTCGATGAGCAAAATACTTTTGGAATCTTTTTACAGCTATTTTTAAATGGTAATGAGACTAGATCTATGATTATTTTTGAATAAATAATTTTAATGAAAATAAGCAGAGCTGGAAATTAGTGTGTAATTGTTTTTGTGTCTTCAAAGGCGGTGTCCCACATTAGCCTATTTTTAAACCTAGCTTAGCTAGGTACTGCAATTTTGGATATAAGTAAAATTTGATTTTGACATGCAGTTCGTCCTTAGCAAAGGAGTTCTTGAAATCTCGTGATACTTAAATTTGGACTAGCTTTTGTACAACTTTGTAGAAACACTAAACTTTATTGACTCTATTTCATTATCATTAGCATAGTAAATGATGTCATAATGACTTCCGAATAATTAGGTCGCAATATAAGCGAGTTGACAGATCTTTTTAACAACCTTATCTATTTTATTTTTTCATGTTGCTGAAATTGATTGACAGTTGCTGAAAACATCTTTCAAAAATTTGTTGTTCATTAACATTTTCTGCAATCAATAATGCTTTAATCTCCTGTCATGTTGTGTCGTAACGGACTTTTGAATAATAATCTTAATTTTCCCTAATCTGAAATTCAGCTTAAAAACAGTTTTCCAACCCTGCAACATTAATAATAAAAATAAAGTAGAACGCTGATCGATCTCTTGCAAATACCAGAATATCTGGTCAATGACCATACTTGACATATATTTGAAAACATTTTCGCTCTATTCTCTCAAAAAAAAAAAAATAAATAGTTTACACGAGTCGGCTTTTGGCATTTCTGATTACTCATTTACAATTTAATTGATAAGATAAATATTTGGAATTGGAATGAATTTGTGAATGGGGAATCTAATACGCGAGCAGGCTGTTTTTCGATGTTCGTTCAATAAAATTTGATTGGGTTGTTCGGATGTGATGGTTGATGTGGTGGCACGATAGGTATAAGGGAGTCCTGGGTCCATTCTCAAGATTCCAATCAGAATTTTACGTTGAGGATGCCAAGTCAGAACTTTAACTAATGTTTTGGGTCATTTTCATTTTTAAAGCATCAATATAAATATTTTGAGACGGAGGTTAAGTCCGTAAAATCTAGTTTCTATTACTTCCGAATGCCCCCAAATCACAAACAAACAAAGAGATTGTTTAAATTATCCTCACGTGTGCTCTCAATAAAGCTCTTAATTTTTTTAATATAGACAAATTTAATGTAAACAGAAATAGTTTAACGCAGAACAGTAGCAACTGTGTCCATATCTCTCAGACAATCATTTGTTTATAAAGATGAAAAAAGTCATAAAATATCCACAACTCATTATCACCATATTATTCAATCTTTATAATATCCAATAAAAAAAGTTTATTTGAAATTAAATAAAAATTCCTGACAAGTCAGAAAACAAGCATGACTCATGTGTGTACACAGCCACAAACATTTTATTACAGCCAAATGAATTTAATAAATTGTCTTCACACTTGGTACAAGGAAAAAGAATCTCAATTTGATGTGGACGAAGATGCTATTTACGTCATATTGATGAGAAATTTAGAATTAAAATGTCAGATCGCACTACACGCGATGGATAAATAATTAAATTTTACGATAGTGTTGATTATTTTTTCCTCTTCAATTTTCAATGAAGAAATATGAAACGTGATTTTTCGCTCGTATTACATGCTGGTCCACACTTGTAAAGAAGAAATTTTCACATTGAACAAGACCCAAAACATGCCAAGGTTTTTACTATCGAGTGGCAGCGGCAGATATACAAGAGATGATCTGGTTACTTTCTGTATTATTATCTACATTTATTTTCATTTGCTTATTTTTAAAAAATTATAAAAGTTCAACAAAGAAATTTGTACAAAAATAAATTTTGAAGCTATAAAAAAATTATTCTCATGAATATTTATGATTTTGTAGAGTTCATTAAACTTAATGAAACAATAGAAAAATAAAAAAAGAGTTTTATCCTAGAGCATGTGGTTCGGATCCCACTATAAACTGTAGGTCTAAAGGGTGTGGTACAAAAGATTCTGTTCTGTTTTGAATCGCAGTGCCTGCAGCTGAAAAGCTGGGCCCTTCACACATTATTTTTACTATTTATCCTATTTAAAATGAGACATTAATGCAAATCATGAGTTAGGAATAACTGTCATTGACACGACTCTGAGTCTTTTGACACCTAAACCTTTAGTTCTGGGTTGACTTATGGATCCATTTTGCATGGTGCAACTTGATGATGTTGGAGAAATTTTAAGTAAATTCAAATTTATTTGTAGCTTGATGATAAGTCACATAAATCCAACCTCACCGCATCGTTCTGACTTTTGAATGCTAGCAATAAGGTTTCATAGTATTCCCATCCATAATTGCCTAATTTACCCCAATTATCAAAATCTTCTTTACTTCCGAGTGTACAGCAATCCATAAATCACAGAAGTTCCACCTAGAGCCTTGCCTCGAGGGAAACCACAACGACCGTCTTTTGAACCTAATTAATAAGCATAAGAAGAAACAAAATTAATTATTCATGATTGTTGAGGAAACTGAATTTATTATTGTCGTGGAATTTTCACTTGATTACTTCTTTACGTAAGCATTTCATGGAAATAATTGAACTTGATTGTTTGTAAAAACTTCAGTGGCAATTGTACGATATTGATCTATTTGTGTAACTTCAAGGTTGAAGTTTAAGGTTTGATGTACACTGTTGATAAGGAAGAATCATTCAAGAATGTCATTGACATGTCGTTATTGGTTTACAATCTTTATTAAAACTCTCAACTAAGTTGAAATTTCAATTTTAAATGCAAATATTAACCATAAATTACAATAATCTTCATAAATCACAAAATTTACTCACCAAAGATGCTACTCTGGTCTCGAAATCGACTCAAGATTTTCATCGATTTTAAATAGCGGAGTCGACTCCATACAAAATTTCATCGACTTCGAGCTCTGATTCCAGCTTTAATAAGTAGAACATTCCAATTTGTATTTTCAGTGTGTCAATTTGCAAGAACGCATCCTGCTGGTCCACTGTTGAGTGATTATAAGAAATTTTATAAAAATTATTAAATGCATAACCTGATGACTTTCAGCTGCAGACTTTGACTTTACTGTTCAAAATTTTGATTAAATCGAAAAGACTAATGTTTGCTGCTGGTCGTCTGAGTGATTTTGCTGTTGGTATTTAATTTTGGTCGAATGCTGTTAGGTGTTCTTACCTGCCAATAATGATTAAATAACGTTTATTGAAGTATTTCAATTCTGTAGTTTTTAACAGAAATTTCTTTATTTTGCTAGGGTTTTTATGAAAAAATCACAAAATTCCCCCCCTATTAAATTTTTCCATACAAAAAAAAAATTTTGTCACCTTCTCTTCAAATTCCTGGATTCATTAATAAGACAACAAGATGAAGATCTGCATACGAAAATTAAATGTGCGTTCACGCTATAAAATTGTAAAAGAAATACTTCCAGTGCAACGAAAAATTTTGTTTTGGGTTCTTGAACTTGACACACTTGAAGATATTATCAGGTCAATGTCTCTCGAAATTATATGAAACGAGATTTTTCCGAAATAAAATCGTACAACGACAGTAAAATTTCCAGTTCAATCTTCTGAAATGTTTTGAAAAATTTGGCTTTTACTTTAAGTTTCTATTTTCACACTTCTATTTCAGGTTATGTAAGAAAATTTAAGTTATGAAAATTTCAAAGTCATCAGAATATCTTGGAAAGCTTTATTGGAACTCATTGATTTCTGTAAGACTGTTTCAATGGATTTTTCACAACATGGAAAGTTTGAATATACATCTGATGTTTAATAGAAAGCACTGCTGAAATGATCAAAAATTCAAAAGAGAACTTCTAGCAAGGAATGCAAAAAGAAAAGCATCCCATATTACGAGCTATTATAACTATTGATTCTGATGATTGCGTGTTATCAATTGATTGGACATTCCAACTATCATTCTTGATTCGAGACGGAATCAGGGGATTACCTAGAATTAACAAGTATGCAACATGTCGAACTTAAAATTGAATCATTGTGTTTGAGTCCACTACTACTTAAAAAGGAAATCAAAATGTATTAAATTTAAGTTCCTTTACTTCATTTAATTCAACTGCAGGATCAACTTTCATGCTTAATAGACTTTACATTCAACTGTCAAGCTCTTGTGTTCCTCAATAATTTCTTTCTTTAATTCCTGTAGTTTCAATTGCTTCTTCAAACATTTCAGCTTGCGATTAGCCAGTCACTTATTTCTGGATTGTGATGTCATGTTGTAATCTTGTCATAATTACATTTCCTTAATGTATCAAAATTCAATGTTTTTAATCGTCCTAATTGAGCTAAAGATGGAATTTTTTTTCTGAAAATTATTCTGAATATCCTTGAATCAATCGACTTTGACATTCACATTAGTTGATTAAAGTTTCAAGGCAGCAAATAAGCAGAAACCAAATTAAAACAATTAATTTAACATTTACAAAGAAAATTGAAAAAAAACTAGCAACCTCAGAAAAAAAATTATAAATTCAAACAAATGTCAACAGAGAAATAAATCAGCAGTAAATTAATTTATGGATCTGAGAATGAAGAGGATAAGAATGATGCATTACAATCAGCTGGACTTCAACTTTATCAAGCAACAGCAATGTGAATATTATCAAATCTATTTAACTTTCCAAAATAAGTTCTTGAATCGAGAATTTTAAAAAGTAATTAGCACGAAAGAACATGAAGAAGAACAAATGTTGAGGCTCTGGAGCTTATAAAGAAAATGAAGATTAAAGAAGTTAAAGCAGGAAAAGCGGACATCATCATTTTATTAGCATCATTTCGTCATCAGATTTAATAATATATTTTTTTATTTTCTTTTCTTTTCTTTTCTCTTTTTCTCCCTTCTCTCATAGGTTAGGTACAAGAAATGCAAACTGCTAGTAATTCAACAGAACAACAGCCACTACAAGGACCAGGAAGAAAATTAAGGTTCCCAAACGCATCGAAGGATAACATCATATTCAAGAGAAAGAAAGAAAGAGTACACGATTGGGTTCACGATCACCAAGAAGTTACATTTTCAGGATGCAGTACAACTTTATGGATTGTACATTTATCAAAAAAAGTACAACAATAAGAGATCTGATACATTTTATAAATATGGAGATATTATCAGCATTAATATCCACCAAGATTACGATATCAAAGGGTGCAGAAAAAGGCGTTAAAGGATTGGAAAGATTATTTCGATCAAATATTAGTTGAAACTTATATCCCATAAGAATTTACACAAGGCAAAGATTTCGAAAAGCTAGAAGAAGCTGGAATATATAATGAAGAAATGAAGCCATCATAGATAAGGAAAAAATCAATCGAATTCGACAGACAACTCCAAAAGAGACAAGAATTATTCTTCGATATATTTTGATACGACTACAAATGTCTCAAATATCGGTAAAAGTCATCCATCGTCAAATGCGTACTTATGATTCCTAATGTTTTTTCGTTAAGAATTCTCCTTAAAGAAATGGATAGTAAATAGTATACAGCGAAATCATATGATGGTCAAAGAACAACAAATTTAACAGCAAACGCTATCACCAACTTCACTCATAATGCAAGCAAACATAGAAAACTGCAAAGAAAAATACAAGCAACTTAGGAAGAATTTTGCATTCAAAAGAAAATGTCAACATATTGCCAATTCTTCAGATTTTGATTATAGATCTGGAAATGAAGAGGTTAAAAAAAATCAAATTAAAAAGAGAATTGTAGGAGCAATAATTGAATTGTATAAAAATCTACTGTGAACGTAAGTAACGGAAGTCTGTATATCAATTTCAAGATTATATTCTGTAATATTTGTAGCAATTTCAATTCGACTGATTTCACTGGATTAACAAGAACTTGTTAAATCGATGGACTTCTATTGAAATTGAAGATTGGACATGGTCAACATTTTAGAAGGATCGTAAAAGTTCTGAAATCAAAATAACATAGGAGCAAGTAATCAAGTTCACAGTAAGTAATTGCTATATTTTCTTTTTTCATTTGAAAGATGGAATGACACTTGCCAAAAATCTTCTGAAAAATCTAATTTCAATTAATTTCTTCTCACTTTTTCAATTCAATATTTTCAATCTAGCACCGACATCAAGCTGTACTCGTGGAAGTTTTCGGTTGAGGAAGTCTTAAATCGTCTGTGCAGACAATCATCAAGCAAGAAGAAGTAGAAGAAGAAGAATCTTAATCAACAAATAATGAATCAACCTGTAAGTAGAAACAAATTTAATTTTAATTTTAATTTTTTATTTCTTTTCTAGGCTTTATACAACTTTCAAATTAGAAAATGCCCCAACGTCCTGCCCAAATTTTTTTTCAGCACCTAGAAAACTTACAATTTGTTAAAAAAGTACGAACGAAAAGCTAAAGAGGTATGTTAAAAAAAATTGCGTTTACTTGATGAAGTCATAAGACAACAAACAATCCTTTCTTCTTTTTTTCCAGTCTAGGAACAACCTCAAGCTGGACTCGAGGAAGTTTTCATCTAAGGAAGTCTCAAACCGTCTGTGCAGATATTAATCGTGAAGCAAGAAGAAGCAAAAGAAGAAGAATCTTAATCAACAAATAATGAATTAACCTGTAAGTGGGAGCAAATTTAATTTTAATTTTAATTTTTTATTTCTTTTCTAGGCTTAATACAACTTTAAAATTAGAAAATGCCCCAACGTCTTGCCCAATTTTTTTTTCAGCACCTTGAAAACTTACATTTTGGTGAAAAAGGACAGCAAAATAGTTTCTGATCATAATTGGAAAATAACTGATACATAAGTAAAATGGATGGAGCTATACAATCAAGTGCTTGAAGAAGAGGCTGAATATAATCCAATTCTATGATTTGAACAAAATGAGCAACTGGAAATGAGCTTTAGATTGAGTCATATTTGTCTAAATCTTAACAAAAATCCATCACATATCATTCAGACATGTACGTTTTTAATCAGCCAATGAAGTTGTAACTGCCGCGGGATGCATTTAAGCAAAATACTCAGACACATTTTTTCAGGCAAAGATAAATTTGTCCACATTTGATTTTAAAAGTTATCAAGCTCTTTCGAGGCTTGGCGACTTGCAGTTCCTGTGAAGAACATGAAAAGTATGATTTTGTGCAATGTAGAATGTGTGTAGAAGTGTGTCGACAGACCCAGATAGCATTAGCACTCAAATGTTATTTGTTGTTGAATTATAAGTCTTTAACGTTAGTTTGTGTTTGTTAAGATGTAAACGTTTGGATTTTGGACAAAAGTTCAGTAAAGAGGAAGAAAACGACAAGATAAAGATCTGCATACAAAAGTTAAATGTGCATTCACGCTTTAAATTGTAAAAGAAATACTTCCAATACAACGAAAAATTTTGTTTTGGGTTCTTGAACTTGACACACTTGAAGATATTATCAGGTCAATGTCTCTCGAAATTATATGAAACGAGATTTTTCCGAAATAAAATCGTACAACGACAGTAAAATTTCCAGTTCAATCTTCTGAAATGTTTTGAAAAATTTGGCTTTTACTTTAAGTTTCTATTTTCAGACTTCTATTTCAGGTTATGTAAGAAAATTTAAGTTATGAAAATTTCAAAGTCATCAGAATATCTTGGAAAGCTTTATTGGAACTCATTGATTTCTGTAAGACTGTTTCAATGGATTTTTCACAATATGGAAAGTTTGAATATACATCTGATGTTTAATGGAAAGGACTGCTGAAATGATGAAAAATTCAAAAGAGAACTTCTAGCAAGGAATGCAAAAAGAAAAGCATCCCATATTACGAGCTATTAATTGATTCTGATGATTGCGTGTTATCAATTGATTGGACATTCCAACTATCATTCTTGACTCGAGGCAGAATCAGGGGATTACCTAGAATTAACAAGTATACAACATGTCGAACTTAAAATTGAATCATTGTGTTTGAGTCCACTACTACTTAAAAAGGAAATCAAAATGTATTAAATTAAAGTTCTTCACTTCATTTAATTACTGAAGACAGCTAAACTAGCAATGACTGAGTTGTAATCATGTATATCCTTTTATTAATAAGAGAAACTAATTTTCTCTGTGTCGATGACGTTTGCCTCTTTGTCTCATTGTTTTACAACTATAATTGTTGCAGAATCAACTGAATAACAGGATTTGAAGAGGTTTTCATGCTTAATAGACTTTACATTCAATTATCAAACTTTTGCGTTCCTCAATAACTTCTTTCTTTAATTCCTGCAGTTTCAATTGCTTCTTCAAACATTTCAGCTTGCGATTAGCCAGTCAATTATTTCTGGATTGTGATGTCATGTTGTAATCTTTTCATAATTACATTTCCTTAATGTATCAAAATTCAATGTTTTTAATCGTCCTAATTGAACTAAAGATGGAATTTTTTTTTCTTTGACCTTGACATTCACATCAGTTGATTAAAGTTTCAAGGCAGCAAATAAGCAGAAACCAAATTACAACAATTAATTTAACATTTACAAAGAAAATTGCAAAAACTAGCAACCTCAGAAAAAAAATTATAAATTCAAACAAATGTCAACAGAGAAATAAATCAGCAGTAAATTAATTTATGGATCTGAGAATGAAGATGATAAGAATGATGCATTACAATCAGCTGGACTTCTACTTTATCAAGCAACAGCAATGTGAATATTATCAAATCTATTTAACTTTCCAAAATAAGTTCTTGAATCGAGAATTTTAAAAAGTAATCAGCACGAAAGAACATGAAGAAGAACAAATGTTGAGGCTCTGGAGCTTATAAAGAAAATGAAGATTAAAGAAGTTATAGCAGGAAAAGCAGACATCATCATTTTATTAGCATCATTTCGTCATCAGATTTAATAATATATTATCATAGGTTAGGTACAAGAAATGCAAACTGCTGGTAATTCAACAGAACAACAGCCACTACAAAGACCAGGAAGAAAATTAAGGTTCCCAAACGCATCGAAGGATAACATCATATTCAAGAGAGAAAAAGAAAGAGTACACGATTGGGTTCATGATCACCAAGAAGTTACATTTTCAGGATGCAGTACAACTTTATGGATTGAAAGTTTATCAAAAAAAGTACAGCAATAAGAGATCTGATACATTTTATAAATATGGAGATATTATCAGCATTAATATCCACCAAGATTACGATATCAAAGGGTGCAGAAAAAGACGTTAAAGGATTGGAAAGATTATTTCGATCAAACATTAGTTGAAACTTATATCCCATAAGAATTTACACAAGGCAAAGATTTCGAAAAGCTAGAAGAAGCTGGAATATATAATGAAGAAATGAAGCCATCATAGATAAGGAAAAAATCAATCGAATTCGACAGACAACTCCAAAAGAGACAAGAATTATTCTTCGATATATTTTGATACGACTACAAATGTCTCAAATATCGGTAAAAGTCATCCATCGTCAAATGCGTACTTATGATTCCTAATGTTTTTTCGTTAAGAATTCTACTTAAAGAAATGGATAGTAAATAGTATACAGCGAAATCATATGATGGTCAAAGAACAACAAATTTAACAGCAAACGCTATCACCAACTTCACTCATAATGCAAGCAAACATAGAAAACTGCAAAGAAAAATACAAGCAACTTAGGAAGAATTTTGCATTCAAAAGAAAATGTCAACATATTGCCAATTCTTCAGATTATGATTATAGATCTGGAAATGAAGAGGTTAAGAAAAATCAAATTAAAAAGAGAATTGTAGGAGCAATAATTGAATTGTATAAAAATCTACTGTGAACGTAAGTAACGGAAGTCTGTATATCAATTTCAAGATTATATTCTGTAATATTTGTAGCAATTTCAATTCGACTGATTGCACTGGATTAACAAGAACTTGTTAAATCGATGGACTTCTATTGAAATTGAAGATTGGACATAGTCAACATTTTAAAAGGATCGTAAAACAGTTCTGGAATCAAAATAATATGGGAGCAAGTAATCAAGTTCACAGTAAGTAATTGCTATATTTTCTTTTTTCATTTGAAAGATGGAATGACACTTGTCAAAAATCTTCTGAAAAATCTAATTTCAATTAATTTCTTCTCACTTTTTCAATTCAATATTTTCAATCTAGCAACAACCTCAAGCTGGACTCGAGAAAGTTTTCGTCTAGGGAAGTCTCAAACCGTCTGTGCAGATATCAATCATCAAGCAAGAAGAAGCAGAAGAAGAAGAATCTAAATCAACAAATAATGAATTAACCTGTAAGTGGGAACAAATTTTATTTTAATTTTAATTTTTTATTTCTTTTCTAGGCTTTTTACAACTTTCAAATTAGAACTTGCCCCAACGTCCTGCCCAAAATTTTTTTCAGCACCTAAAAAACTTACATTTTGGTGAAAAAGGACAGCAAAAAAGTTTCTGATCATAATTGGATAACAACTGATACATAAGTTAAATGGATGGAGCTGTACAATCAAGTGCTTGAAGAAGAGGCTGAATATAATCCAATTCTATGACTTGAACAAAATGAGCAACTGGAAATAAGCTTTGGATTGAGTCATATTTGCCTAAATCTTAACAAAAATCCATCACATATCATTCAGACATGTACGTTTTTAATCAGCCAATGAAGTTGTAACTGCCGCGGGATGCATTTAAGCAAAATACTCAGACACATTTTTTCAGGCAAAGATAAATTTGTCCACATTTGATTTTAAAAGTTATCAAGCTCTTTCGAGGCTTGGCGACTTGCAGTTCCTGTGAAGAACATGAAAAGTATGATTTTGTGCAATGTAGAATGTGTGTAGAAGTGTGTCGACAGACCCAGATAGCATTAGCACTCAAATGTTATTTGTTGTTGAATTATAAGTCTTTAACGTTAGTTTGTGTTTGTTAAGATGTAAACGTTTGGATTTTGGACAAAAGTTCAGTAAAGAGGAAGAAAACGACCAGATAAAGATCTGCATACGAAAGTTAAATGTGCATTCACGCTTTAAATTGTAAAATCTAGTAAAAAAGAAATACTTTCAATACAACGAAAAATTTTGTTTTGGGTTCTTGAACTTGACACACTTGAAGATATTATCAGGTCAATGTCTCTCGAAATTATATGAAACGAGATTTTTCCGAAATAAAATCGTACAACGACAGTAAAATTTCCAGTTCAATCTTCTGAAATGTTTTGAAAAATTTGGCTTTTACTTTAAGTTTCTATTTTCAGACTTCTATTTCAGGTTATGTAAGAAAATTTAAGTTATGAAAATTTCAAAGTCATCAGAATAGCTTGGAAAGCTTTATTGGAACTCATTGATTTCTGTAAGACTGTTTCAATGGATTTTTCACAATATGGAAAGTTTGAATATACATCTGATGTTTAATGGTAAGGACTGCTGAAATGATGAAAATTTCAAAAGAGAACTTCTAGCAAGGAATGCAAAAAGAAAAGCATCCCATATTACGAGCTATTAATTGATTCTGATGATTGCGTGTTATCAATTGATTGGACATTCCAACTATCATTCTTGATTCGAGGCAGAATCAGGGGATTACCTAGAATTAACAAGTATACAACATGTCGAACTTAAAATTGAATCATTGTGTTTGAGTCCACTACTACTTAAAAAGGAAATCAAAATGTATTAAATTAAAGTTCTTTTACTTCATTTAATTACTGAAGACAGCTAAACTAGCAATGACTGAGTTGTAATCATGTATATCCTTTTATTAATAAGCACATAATAATCAAAAATAATTTGAAATTAATTTTCTCTGTGTCGATGACGTTTGCCTCTTTGTCTCATTGTTTTACAGCTCTAATTGTTGCAGAATCAACTGAATAACAGGATTTGAAGAGGTTTTCATGCTTAATAGACTTAACATTCAATTATCAAACTCTTGTGTTCTTTAATAATTTCTTTTTTTAATTCCTGTAGTTTCAATTGCTTCTTCAAACATTTCAGCTTGCAACTAGCCAGTCATTTATTTCTGGATTGTGATGTCATGTTGTAATCTTGTCATAATTACATTTCCTTAATGTATCAAAATTCAATGTTTTTAATCGTCCTAATTGAACTAAAGATGGAATTTTTTTTTTTCTTTGACCTTGACATTCACATCAGTTGATTAAAGTTTCAAGGCAGCAAATAAGCAGAAACCAAATTACAACAATTAATTTAACATTTACAAAGAAAATTGCAAAAACTAGCAACCTCAGAAAAAAAATTATAAATTCAAACAAATGTCAACAGAGAAATAAATCAGCAGTAAATTAATTTATGGATCTGAGAATGAAGAGGATAAGAATGATGCATTACAATCAGCTGGACTTCAACTTTATCAAGCAACAGCAATGTGAATATTATCAAATCTATTCAACTTTCCAAGATAAGTTCTTGAATCGAGAATTTTAAAAAGTAATCAGCACGAAAGAACATGAAGAAGAACAAATGTTGAGGCTCTGGAGCTTATAAAGAAAATGAAGATTAAAGAAGTTATAGCAGGAAAAGCAGACATCATCATTTTATTAGCATCATTTCGTCATCAGATTTAATAATATATTATCATAGGTTAGGTACAAGAAATGCAAACTGCTGGTAATTCAACAGAACAACAGCCACTACAAAGACCAGGAAGAAAATTAAGGTTCCCAAACGCATCGAAGGATAACATCATATTCAAGAGAGAAAAAGAAAGAGTACACGATTGGGTTCATGATCACCAAGAAGTTACATTTTCAGGATGCAGTACAACTTTATGGATTGTACATTTATCAAAAAAAGTACAACAATAAGAGATCTGATACATTTTATAAATATGGAGATATTATCAGCATTAATATCCACCAAGATTACGATATCAAAGGGTGCAGAAAAAGACGTTAAAGGATTGGAAAGATTATTTCGATCAAACATTAGTTGAAACTTATATCCCATAAGAATTTACACAAGGCAAAGATTTCGAAAAGCTAGAAGAAGCTGGAATATATAATGAAGAAATGAAGCCATCATAGATAAGGAAAAAATCAATCGAATTCGACAGACAACTCCAAAAGAGACAAGAATTATTCTTCGATATATTTTGATACGACTACAAATGTCTCAAATATCGGTAAAAGTCATCCATCGTCAAATGCGTACTTATGATTCCTAATGTTTTTTCGTTAAGAATTCTACTTAAAGAAATGGATAGTAAATAGTATACAGCGAAATCATATGATGGTCAAAGAACAACAAATTTAACAGCAAACGCTATCACCAACTTCACTCATAATGCAAGCAAACATAGAAAACTGCAAAGAAAAATACAAGCAACTTAGGAAGAATTTTGCATTCAAAAGAAAATGTCAACATATTGCCAATTCTTCAGATTATGATTATAGATCTGGAAATGAAGAGGTTAAGAAAAATCAAAAAAAAAAGGGGAATTGTAGGAGCAATAATTGAATTGTATAAAAATCTACTGTGAACGTAAGTAACGGAAGTCTGTATATCAATTTCAAGATTATATTCTGTAATATTTGTAGCAATTTCAATTCGACTGATTGCACTGGATTAACAAGAACTTGTTAAATCGATGGACTTCTATTGAAATTGAAGATTGGACATAGTCAACATTTTAAAAGGATCGTAAAACAGTTCTGGAATCAAAATAATATGGGAGCAAGTAATCAAGTTCACAGTAAGTAATTGCTATATTTTCTTTTTTCATTTGAAAGATGGAATGACACTTGTCAAAAATCTTCTGAAAAATCTAATTTCAATTAATTTCTTCTCACTTTTTCAATTCAATATTTTCAATCTAGCAACAACCTCAAGCTGGACTCGAGAAAGTTTTCGTCTAGGGAAGTCTCAAACCGTCTGTGCAGATATCAATCATCAAGCAAGAAGAAGCAGAAGAAGAAGAATCTTAATCAACAAATAATGAATTAACCTGTAAGTGGGAACAAATTTTATTTTAATTTTAATTTTTTATTTCTTTTCTAGGCTTTTTACAACTTTCAAATTAGAACTTGCCCCAACGTCCTGCCCAAAATTTTTTTCAGCACCTAAAAAACTTACAATTTGTTAAAAAAGTACGAACGAAAAGCTAAAGAGGTATGTTAAAAAAATTGCGTTTAATTGATGAAGTCATAAGAAAACAAACAATCCTTTCTTCTTTTTTTCCAGTGTAGGAACAACCTCAAGCTGTACTCGAGGAAGTTTTCGTCTAGGGAAGTCTCAAACCGTCTGTGCAGATATCAATCATCAAGCAAGAAGAAGCAGAAGAAGAAGAATCTAAATCAACAAATAATGAATTAACCTGTAAGTGGGAACAAATTTTATTTTAATTTTAATTTTTTATTTCTTTTCTAGGCTTTTTACAACTTTCAAATTAGAACTTGCCCCAACGTCCTGCCCAAAATTTTTTTCAGCACCTAAAAAACTTACAATTTGTTAAAAAAGTACGAACGAAAAGCTAAAGAGGTATGTTAAAAAAATTGCGTTTAATTGATGAAGTCATAAGAAAACAAACAATCCTTTCTTCTTTTTTTCCAGTGTACGAACAACCTCAAGCTGTACTCGAGGAAGTTTTCGTCTAGGGAAGTCTCAAACCGTCTGTGCAGATATCAATCATCAAGCAAGAAGAAGCAGAAGAAGAAGAATCTTAATCAACAAATAATGAATTAACCTGTAAGTGGGAACAAATTTTATTTTAATTTTAATTTTTTATTTCTTTTCTAGGCTTTTCACAACTTTCAAATTAGAAAATGCCCCACCGTCCTGCCCAAATTTTTTTTCAGCACCTAGAAAACTTACAATTTGTTAAAAAAAAGTACGAACGAAAAGCTAAAGAGGTATGTTAAAAAAAATTGCGTTTAATTGATGAAGTTATAAGAAAACAAACAATCCTTTCTTCTTTTTTTCCAGTCTACCTCAAGCTGTACTCGAGGAAGTTTTCGTCTAGGGAAGTCTCAAACCGTCTGTGCAGATATCAATCATCAAGCAAGAAGAAGCAAAAGAAGAAGAATCTTAATCAACAAATAATGAATTAACCTGTAAGTGGGAACAAATTTTATTTTAATTTTAATTTTTTATTTCTTTTCTAGGCTTTTTACAACTTTCAAATTAGAAAATGCCCCACCGTCCTGCCCAAATTTTTTTTCAGCACCTAGAAAACTTACAATTTGTTAAAAAAGTACGAACGAAAAGCTAAAGAGGTATGTTAAAAAAATTGCGTTTAATTGATGAAGTCATAAGACAACAAACAATCCTTTCTTCTTTTTTTTCCAGTCTAGGAACAACCTCAAGCTGGACTCGAGGAAGTTTTCGTCTAGGGAAGTCTTAAAACGTCTGTGCAGATATCAATCATCAAGCAAGAAGAAGCAGAAGAAGAAGATTCTTAATCAACAAATAATGAATTAACCTGTAAGTGGGAACAAATTTTATTTTAATTTTAATTTTTTATTTCTTTTCTAGGCTTTTTACAACTTTCAAATTAGAAAATGCCCCACCGTCCTGCCCAAATTTTTTTTCAGCACCTAGAAAACTTACAATTTGTTAAAAAAGTACGAACGAAAAGCTAAAGAGGTATGTTAAAAAATTGCGTTTAATTGATGAAGTCATAAGACAACAAACAATCCTTTCTTCTTTTTTTTCCAGTCTAGGAACAACCTCAAGCTGGACTCGAGGAAGTTTCCGTTTAGGGAAGTCTTAAAACGTCTGTGCTGATATCAATCATCAAGCAAGAAGAAGCAGAAGAAGAAGAATCTTAATCAACAAATAATGAATTAACCTGTAAGTGGGAACAAATTTTATTTTAATTTTAATTTTTTATTTCTTTTCTAGGCTTTTTACAACTTTCAAATTAGAACTTGCCCCAACGTCCTGCCCAAAATTTTTTTCAGCACCTAAAAAACTTACAATTTGTTAAAAAAGTACGAACGAAAAGCTAAAGAGGTATGTTAAAAAAATTGCGTTTAATTGATGAAGTCATAAGAAAACAAACAATCCTTTCTTCTTTTTTTCCAGTCTAGGAACAACCTCAAGCTGTACTCGAGGAAGTTTTCGTCTAGGGAAGTCTCAAACCGTCTGTGCAGATATCAATCATCAAGCAAGAAGAAGCAGAAGAAGAAGAATCTAAATCAACAAATAATGAATTAACCTGTAAGTGGGAACAAATTTTATTTTAATTTTAATTTTTTATTTCTTTTCTAGGCTTTTTACAACTTTCAAATTAGAACTTGCCCCAACGTCCTGCCCAAAATTTTTTTCAGCACCTAAAAAACTTACAATTTGTTAAAAAAGTACGAACGAAAAGCTAAAGAGGTATGTTAAAAAAATTGCGTTTAATTGATGAAGTCATAAGAAAACAAACAATCCTTTCTTCTTTTTTTCCAGTGTACGAACAACCTCAAGCTGTACTCGAGGAAGTTTTCGTCTAGGGAAGTCTCAAACCGTCTGTGCAGATATCAATCATCAAGCAAGAAGAAGCAGAAGAAGAAGAATCTTAATCAACAAATAATGAATTAACCTGTAAGTGGGAACAAATTTTATTTTAATTTTAATTTTTTATTTCTTTTCTAGGCTTTTCACAACTTTCAAATTAGAAAATGCCCCACCGTCCTGCCCAAATTTTTTTTCAGCACCTAGAAAACTTACAATTTGTTAAAAAAAAGTACGAACGAAAAGCTAAAGAGGTATGTTAAAAAAAATTGCGTTTAATTGATGAAGTTATAAGAAAACAAACAATCCTTTCTTCTTTTTTTCCAGTCTACCTCAAGCTGTACTCGAGGAAGTTTTCGTCTAGGGAAGTCTCAAACCGTCTGTGCAGATATCAATCATCAAGCAAGAAGAAGCAAAAGAAGAAGAATCTTAATCAACAAATAATGAATTAACCTGTAAGTGGGAACAAATTTTATTTTAATTTTAATTTTTTATTTCTTTTCTAGGCTTTTTACAACTTTCAAATTAGAAAATGCCCCACCGTCCTGCCCAAATTTTTTTTCAGCACCTAGAAAACTTACAATTTGTTAAAAAAGTACGAACGAAAAGCTAAAGAGGTATGTTAAAAAAATTGCGTTTAATTGATGAAGTCATAAGACAACAAACAATCCTTTCTTCTTTTTTTTCCAGTCTAGGAACAACCTCAAGCTGGACTCGAGGAAGTTTTCGTCTAGGGAAGTCTTAAAACGTCTGTGCAGATATCAATCATCAAGCAAGAAGAAGCAGAAGAAGAAGATTCTTAATCAACAAATAATGAATTAACCTGTAAGTGGGAACAAATTTTATTTTAATTTTAATTTTTTATTTCTTTTCTAGGCTTTTTACAACTTTCAAATTAGAAAATGCCCCACCGTCCTGCCCAAATTTTTTTTCAGCACCTAGAAAACTTACAATTTGTTAAAAAAGTACGAACGAAAAGCTAAAGAGGTATGTTAAAAAAATTGCGTTTAATTGATGAAGTCATAAGACAACAAACAATCCTTTCTTCTTTTTTTTCCAGTCTAGGAACAACCTCAAGCTGGACTCGAGAAAGTTTTCGTCTAGGGAAGTCTCAAACCGTCTGTGCAGACAATTATCAAGCAAGAAGAACCAGAAGAAGAAGAATCTTAATCAACAAATAATGAATTAACCTGTAAGTGGGAACAAATTTTATTTTAATTTTAATTTTTTATTTCTTTTCTAGGCTTTTTACAACTTTCAAATTAGAAAATGCCCCACCGTCCTGCCAAAATTTTTTTTTCAGCACCTAGAAAACTTACAATTTGTTAAAAAAGTACGAACGAAAAGCTAAAGAGGT